GTAGTGTGTGTGTGTGTGTGTGTGTGTGTGTGTGTGTGTGTGTGTGTGTGTGTGTGTGTGTGTGTGTGTGTGTGTGTGTGTGTGTGTGTGCGTATGCATGGGTGAAAGTGATAGATCTCCAATATGTCATTATTATTACATTGTGCGAGCGATGTAGATTCATGACAGCCGCAGTTTATGCACGTATACGCGCTTCTTTCGATCGGTATATTTGAGAGACTGTTCGGAATCGATGGCAAATGCGATTAAACGCTGATCGATCATCGTAAAGATAAAACAAACAAAAATAAATAAATAAATCGATAAAAATAAAAGAATCGAGTAATGTACCCCATTACGACAAACATTTTGTCACATTTTAATGGGTCCGGCCCGCTAAAAGAACACCGCAGAAAAGAAAGTTGCGAAATATAACCATATGTAACATCGTAAAAAAATAAGCATTATTATTTCTGCAAATCCCGTGTTTTAGCTAATTTAGCCGCACGTATCACAGTCGTATTTATTGGTTTACAATTTAATCATTGCCATTACATTCAATTCATTAAGCTTGGTTTGATCCGCATTGCAAGTAGATGAGAGATGGCACAAATACAAATTCTCTGAGAATTTAAATTGCAAAATTGAAATTAATTTACAATCTCGAAAAATCTACGAAGCATAAGCAGATGTAATAAAGGTAAGAAGTGCAAAAAACATTCCAAGAGTGTCAATTTCGGAAACGAAATCTGAGGACTACGATTACAGAAATCTGAATTAAAGAAATTGTAGAGTATTAGAAGAATCTAGTCAGGTAAGAGACGGTAAAATCTAAATTCTCCAAAAATTGATTCCAAGAGTTCCAACAACTTTAAAGCTGAAGAAACGTGTACGCATGGTTACTGAAACATTTTTCTTTTTTTTTGGTATTTAGGAAATAATATCCATTTAATAAATAACATTTATTGCTATTTTCCATGTTTTGATTCTGGAAACCACGAAGCTTCTATTATTGATTTATTATTGATTATTCATATTGTACAAATCTTTCGGAACTTATCACTTAGTAAACGGAGAACCACCAATATAGTTCCCACTCGCTCGTAGGTCGGCGCATTAGAAAATATAATTTTTTATAAAAAAAAGAAGGTAGGAAACGGGAGAGTGAGTGGACTAATGGTGACAGAAACAATAAAAGTGATATTCAAATGTCGAAAATAATCGTAAAAGCAACGTCGATCTTCAGTACGTTGAAACGAAGCTCTCTTTAATTATTATCGTTCTCCCAAAACGAGTATTATTGTACAAAGTATACCAGTATATGAAGTATGCATAGTATGCAAGTTACACTATTAATTTGCATACTGCGCACGCTGTTTGAGGGAAGATACAATATTAAATGTAGGTCATTATCTTGCGCACAGTGATGAATTTGCTCGGTATACTATATGCTATATATACTATATGGTTGTGCCGTGTAATTATGACAATTTATACGGAAATTACGTACAATTATTAATGCATTATTAGCTTCGGCAAGATGTGTGTAACGAGGAATTGTATCTACAAAATTCGTTCAGCCACAAAACGGCGGATGACTCGTATTTTTGTATTCGCAGATAGCACAATTCTCTTTTCTTCATTTATATATCATCAATTAATATTCAGATAAAAATGCTTTAGTCTAAAAGGGGATACAGGGGATGGTATACAATACTTTTTTTTTTACACTTTTATCAATGGCATTACACACATTAGCGCTTTTCTCAGAATAAGAATTCACTCTCTCTCTCTCTCTCTCTCTCTCTCTCTCTCTCTCTCTCTCTCTCTCTCTCTCTCTCTGTTCTGAGAATATTATCTTATCTATTATCACTATATATCCAGAATCATTCGTGTTATTATTTGTTTAACACTAAGGGAAACCAGGAAGTACCTCCAAGTTATCATATACCATTTGTACCTTACAAGCTAGACAGTTTGCAATTTTTAGATTTTTATCCTACAGAAACAAATTTTAAACATTTTAAACTATGCATTACAAAACTGATCAGAACAAAAAGATTTTCCGGTTCCTTAATTTTAAAAATAAAACGTGACTTGGCCACATAGGAAATCTTTTACATAGATACATAAAACTTACAAAAATAACGATAAATTAATTTAAAAGCCTAAAGTAAGAGAATTAGGAAAACAATACAAATTGCGATTTGGATGTAATCAACCTATTCTAAAAATAAAACCTTATGTCGCATACTTCTTTCGCAAATTTTGATATAATTAAAAGTTTACTCAATCTGAAACACGTATTTATGAGATAACTTCTATTATTATTATTTACACTTTTTTTTTTAAAACCATGTGCAATGGTTTACAAAATATTTGCACCCCTTATTTTTCGCGGAAGAATTTGATACCAAAAAAGAAAAATGTTGCTACAAAGCGTGCTCTATTCAATATATTAATACAAACAAAAACAATATATTTTGATAAAAACACTTCGTAGCAATATTTTTTCCGTGTACAATTATTATAAAAAAGAAATTGGGATATGCAAGTACTTGTTCTACTCACTGTACCAATCCTGTTTCCAGAATTATGCTAGCTCGTTACATCAAAAAGTTTTGGTTTCAGACAGTACCATTTTCAAAAAGTTTTGGTTTTTTTTCCACGAAAGTTAAGCATTAATGATCTCACTTATACAATCCGCATAATAAAATTCGGAGATATATAGACATGTCCTTTAATCCAGAAATATACAATACAGTACAGTCCTGCGATTATAATCGATGAAATTATTAAGTGTATTAATAGTCTTGCCGTCTTTTGAAGTACCTTATACATATAAGCTTCACAGGTTGATATTTCAAATAATTTTATTTCTATATACGCTCTTACGCTCATTGCTGCATCGTAAAAAAATCATAATAATTGCTATATTACATATTTTTGGATTTTTTTCTTACACGATATTTTTTAATGAAGTAAAAAAATCTACTTAAAGAAAAGTGGTACTGCTCTTAAAATATCAGTCATTAAAATTTTTTTATAAACAATAATATACGACATCATATGTGTTATCTAAAATCGAATAACATTTATCCAAAACATTTTCTTTAATTGATGATAAATAAATGTTTGATCAATAATGAAGATAAATGTTGTATGTTATCTTTTCTTAACTTAGCACGATTTTAGCTATTTTATCTAAAAGATTAATCAGAATTACAATATTATATACATAAAAGAGATGTTGCATTGGCACAGCAAAGATGTTTTCCTGGACTGCCATCCAGCGATCAGCAAAAATTGTTTCATGATTAATCAACAATATGATTATGACGCATACGCTTAGATATTTTGAACTTGCCTTCGTTGTGCTCCTTTAAATAGCTGTATGCCAATTAAGAAAAATATATTTCATTCATGAAACATTCGATAACTCTTTTTTTTTAATTTTGTATTGCCTGAATGTTTTCTCCTGTGTAGAAGAGCATAGAAATGCATTATAAAAACTCGATAAAATTCTATTGTTTTGAAGTACAGGATGTTTTCTTTTCATTATTCGGCAGTAATCCTCTAAAAATATAGAATTAATTCAAAGATTAAAATTAAATTTATAAATTTCTTGTATAGGTTATCAATAATTGTTCCAATAATACTGTAAAAATACTGTAAAAATAAATATCGAATATCGCAAAATCTCCGTCTGATTAATTAAATGATGCGCGTATCGTCTCGAGAGAAAATATCCCGTCTATGCGAAACAACACATTGACACAGTAAAATAGAATAAACGATTTAAGTTTGTATCGTTTCTGTCTTTATTCGAAGTATGAATAAAAAGACATTAATTATTTACATATGTTGTCGGCTTTCTTGCAGCCCACTGCCAGGTCGGTAATTATTAAACGGTTGGCAGTCCCGGCTTTAATGGAATGTTGCGGTTACATTATTTAATTAATGCGAGCGATATAGTCTACGATTACTGTGTCACGTAATTATACTGTTTTTGTTCGTACTTCATGTACCTTGTTATATTTGTCCCCGTTCCTTTTTTCCTGTTCGATATACAGGGTGTCCGATAATTGCTGAATCACTTCTCGGGTGTAGATAGAGCGGGTTAAACCGAGTAGAAAAGTCCTCTATCGTTTTGCGATTTTCGCAATAATTAATGAGAAATTAATTAAAGAAGATCGGCCAATTTGCGCGAGTCTAAACGCGCGGCGAGAAGAGACAGCCCGTTGTTATGTTGTCGCTAGGACGCAAGGATCTAACGTTACACACCGCTCGTATGTGCCGTTGTCATTTATAGAGCGCTCCTCCCAACGATTTATCGTGCGCCTAGTAACCAAATAACAGTGGGCTGTATCACCACGGGTCTCTTCTCGCCGCGCTCTTAAACTCGCGCGAATTGGCCGATATTTTTTAATTAATTCCTCATTAATTATTGCAAAAATCGCAAAATGATAAAGGACTTTTCTATTCGGTTTAAGCCGCTCTACCTACACCCGAGAGGTGATTCAGCAATTATCGGACACCCTGTATATGAAGTAATAGTTTGAAATTATAATTCTCCCAATTCTAAACTGAATTTATTAACAACAATATCGTTTTTTATTAGCTAACTGGATATATTATCTTTTTGTTACAATTTTTCAAACTCGCCGATTAAAATGATGTTGATTAACGGCTTTCGGCTTATTTACTCTGCTAACGTCCAAACACATTTTCACTTGAGAGAGACACATTTTTTGACATTTATTATAAATAATTTATGTGACCTTTAATCATTTTGCGCTCCTATGTGATATTCTGGTGAGATATTCTAATTGAAGTCAAGTTTATCTAACTAGGATAATATTATTAAACAAGAGTCATATACTTAAGGAGCTTATCTTTTCCAAGCCATTTTAAATTCTTATTTTAAAAACTAAATTTAACACGGTTTGGAGAAAATAAATGTTTCAAATAAAATTGTTCTCAATAAGGTTATTATCTCGGTAGAATATTATTCTGGTTTGATAAACAAGCTTTCTGCGCTGTCGTAGAAAATACGCTAAATAAGAATGTTACATAGAAACGTAATATGATTAAACATTTCATAATGGCTCTTAAAACATATCAAAACACGGAGATCTGATTTCGAGAAATATGATTTCGAGACTTATTTTGTCATCCAGTCTTCTCGTGCTTCATATTATAAAATAGCTGACGCAAGTACGAGAATTTTATGCTTATCTATTCGTAAGAAGAAATTTATCGTTTTTTTTTTTTTTTACTTTTATAACACAGGGCTAGCCTTAAAAGCGCGATAAAGTTAGTTTTAAACAGAGCATTATGTACATTGTTCATATATGCAAATGGTATATTCTAATAGTACATTTGTATACATGTAAATTTATACGCTTCCCCAATTGTCTCAATTTAGAAATATTAACGTATATATAACAATTTCCTCTACTGTCATATATCTCGTGTTAAGGTACCTAGTTTTTGGATGTTTCTATTACACAAACATCGTTATAATTTGTAAAAGGCTTTGCCAGCCGAGATCATTCAAACGCGACGAACGGGGCATGGCAAAATTTTATTTAAGGAAAGACAGACTTTTACAAAGTTAGCGCATAAATCTAATTAGCTGCCTCTCTTATTTAACACATTTCGTTTCTCGAAGTAGCATTCTACGCGAATTAAAAACGAATGTGTTTGTATAAATGCACACGTATATATGCGCATCAATGTTACAATGTGTTTATGTATATGTGTATGTGTATGCATGTACCTATATATACATACACATGGTGTCCCAAAGCGGATGACGGTTCATTTAATGATAGATTTTTTGGCCAATCTTGCTGTTTCCTGAATGAAAATATCGATGTACGAATAATTACAAGGAACTGGAAGAGATTTTTCAGCTTAAACTACAGGAAGTTAAATGGATAATACTGTAAATTCTTCAATTAATTTTAGGTGAGATTTACTTTAATAGAATTTTTATTTGAAGTCCATTATAAAGATACATAATATAAAAAAAAAATAAAATAAAAATGTGCAATGCACGATGGGGTTTTCGACATTGAAAAATCTACTCCAAATTAATCAATGAATCTTAAAATTAAGGTTGCGAGTTGCTGTGGGACACTTTGCATGTATGTATGTATATTCGCAGCAATGAAAATGCAATATATATATATATATATAATATTAATGCTTATCACTGCTGCCCGCGTGACGAGTAGCATAACGAATGAATCCTTGATCTCATTTAAATGATTTCAACGATAAAAAACAGTTCTACGTATTTACACGACTTCCTTTTTCGCTTACACAGCACGCAGTTACCATTCATATATATGGCTATCTACATCGAGCTCTACCGTCGAATGCGAAAGCACTTGAATAACGTTTCGTTTTACCCTGGTCTCTTAATGTCCAACGCTCAATGACAATCGGTGAAAATTGTAAGGTGTCTACTGTTCGCTCGAGGCGTGTTAGAATTTGCGCGGCAGTGTTGGTTATGAGCGATGAGAAAGTAATACACGATGCATAAAACGGCGGAAAATACCTTTGACATACATGCGAGATCGAATAATGATAATACTGATATCGCATCCAAAAATACACCCATATTCTTTTCAAGAAGCGCTAAGTGGGAATTTATGACATCTAGCGTATCAATTGAATAAGGATTAACAGGAAATTCATTGACATATCAATATTTTTTCGATATTGTGGATATGTGTCAAATTAATGTATCAAATTAATGTGCTTTCCGCCGTTTTCAACATTTTAAGAAAATCTCAAGACGCTCATTGTTAGAGGCACTCTGTCCGCGACTAAGCTGTCAAGTAAATGCGCACGTGTAATCATATCGCAATCGTTATTATACGCTAACAAAACCAATTTATCTAAGATCTCGTTCATTCCGATTCCTTTCATCAGAGTTTCTCCGAGGACATTTCGCCGTGTCAACGATGTACAAAAATTCATTGACAATAAATGAAAGGTAAAAATAAAACGATTATGAATTAGAAATATAGAATTTAATTCTACTGATAAAATTATAATTTCTTGTCAAATAATATTTTAAGTAATTCGGTAATAAATTCGGTCTTTTGTACATTCTTTTTGTTTGCCACATGATGTTGCTATATGAGAAACATTTTTTAAATCTATAAGATGTTTCTCAAAAAAATGTTTAATCACATTTTATCAGTCTACTAATCACATTGATGACGAAACAATATAAACGTAAGTTTACAAATGCATTTCTTTCTAATTACTTATTATTTGACCATAAAACACATGATAAATACACATATAACTTTAAAAGTTCCAAATCGAAAGAAAATATTTGCGGGTCTAAGTATGACATTTTTTACAGTATTAATGAATGCTAATATATTTAATAAGTAAAGATCAATAGTAAACTTTAATCAACCATTTTAAAAATACGTTTTGCGTACATTTTAATAGATTTTGTACATTATACCAATTTAAAATCTAGAGTTTCTTGTCTAATTTTAAACAATATGCAAATTCCAAATTCACAATAAAAAATATTTAATATGTGTCATACTTTGCTTTAATGCAATTTTGTTCAACTTTGTTATTTCAATTCTTAGAAATAACTCATTATATTTGTTTCATAGTTTTGAAATAATGCATTTTTCAGTAATTATATCAATTTTTCTTGTTGCACCGCTTTCCATGGCAGCGATCGTTTTTTTCCTACTTGTAATATTTTTCAACATGTAAGTATTCCTCGAAGAAACCATATGCTTGTCACTATATTCCGCCTGAGAGAGACTTATTAATAATCGTGCTCTCGCCCATTTTTCCCCGCCATTACCAATACTCACAGCACGGCAATAAGTGCACAACAATACTGGAATTAGTCTTACTTAGATCTCTCTCTATGCTTCGCTCCGTTCCCTATTGGATATCTTAAACAAAACGCATAAATGAGGCACTTGCCTGAATCTATACCGGCCATATTAACACTCCATTCCTGTTATAGATCAAGATTTGCCAACAATTAATACACGAAAGGCACGCCTCGTCTCTCACGCGAATGCTTAAAATGTCTCTACACAGTGTTTCGTTTTGTTTTGCATCAGTCTAAGCACCTAACAGGCCACTGCTACGAACACAGTCCTCATATGGTATCACATTACATTACTATGGTTCAATTCTTCAGCCTCGTCATCGTTGTTGTCGGCGTACACATTTTTTCTCACATTCGATCATCATACACGATTAGAACAAATAAAGGGGGGGGGGGAAAGATTTCAAACGATTGAATTCTATACAGAATGATTCCACGATGATCGTGGAACCGCGCGACGGACATATACTTGGCAAAGCTTGAAAATACAATAAAAAAGTAGATCCTGGATCTATCACGTGACTGTTCGCCGTCCATTTGCACCGATTTATGACACAACGAAGTTGCGTGTCGATACGCCATGGCGATCGCGTCCTCCGACACAACTTCCAGCCGTGTGTTCATCGTGAAGCTGTCGGGAAAACAGAAGAAAGGGGGTTTCGCTGCGCGTAGTACCATATCCGTGTTCCCGGCTTTTTGTCTTCGTAACCGCGTGTAGGGTATATTTTGCACTCCCCAACACTGCTATTTCTCTCCCCAGATGCACGAAATTACGTTCCTAAATGTTCCTCGTGATCAGACCGCTTTATTCGCCGATTCGTGAAAATACTGTCACTCTCGCGGCGCCTCATAAGTCTGTCCGCGTCGAAAACACATCGAGTTCGTGCCGTCGCGCTTACGATACTTGGCGTCTCTGAGCAGGAAATTGTCGTCCACGCTATTGTATTGAGCCATGGACTGAGATCGCGGCGGTGGACTGTGCGCGGCCACGTACGTGATCATGTTGTTGAAGTTCGGCAAGAACTGCGGATTGAAGAGCGACAGGATCCTTTCGTTGAGCTCGCGCGGACTCCGCGTGGGCACCATGTAGTGATCGCGCGCGTTCACCGCCGCGTGCTGATCGTAGCGGGCGTCATCGGCGGCGAGGCGACGTCCGCAGAGATCGTCGAGGCTGTTGGCGCTGTCGCTAGTGTCCTCGCACGGCGGTGCGTTCATCAGCGTGGTCTCGACACACTCGGACTGGTGATACCGGACGCACCTCGGCGCCGTCGCGGGTCGCTGCTGCGCGTCGTAGTACTCGAGCGTGCAGGTCTCGTCGTTCCCGATGCTCTCGTAATGATCCTCGTCCGGCTTATGCGTGTTGTTGGTGTGGTCCGTGGCGATGCCGGTGGTGAGGCTCGTAGGTGTCGTCCCGTCGTCGTCCTCGTCGTCGTCGCCGTCCTCGTCGTTACGCTCGTCCGATTCCGCGAGGTCGGAGGAAGAGGAGGTGGAAGATACGCCAGAACCCGTCGGGTCCTGCGGCAAGCCTCAGACGGCTCTGTGTCGCCTTCTGTATCATATGTACGTTTTCTTAACTTTCTGCACCGGCTTGTTCTCCGCAGACGAGTTGGCGTTCTTGCCGTTTGGGTTCTTGGGCGGCACGTTCAGCACCAGATTGATGGACTTATTGTTGAATCCCGGGGATTCGGAGCTCTCCGTCAGTCGATTGAGCTGCTGCCGCTGTTCGGACGGCTCGGGATATGAGGCGCCACGCAACCTCTGGGAAAACCAAAAACCCAAAGCGAAACCGGCCACAAGAGAGCAGAAGCACGTGCCTATCAACGCGCCCGTCAAAGTTTGGGCCGAGTACACCACTGGTGTCACGGTCACGCCTGTAATCAGATTGCGACAAAAGATTTGATTTCAAGATACGGATTTTGATTTCAAGATATATCTTTTGCGTGAGATACTCGCGTGGTCAAACTTTGTCAATTCGTGTTCTAAGTGCTGGAAATGGAGCCGAAAAACTAAAGCAACAGAAACAAATGTAAGAGAAATAAATATAAGGACAGAAATAAATGTAACAATGAAAGTGTGATAGACTTTCGAAAACATGATTGCAAAGAATATGACAAATGCAGAACGCATAGTTCGTTATTGATGATGATGTAGCCTGCGAGTATCAGTCGATTCCACAAGAGGAAGCATGTTGAAATGTAGAATGTTTTTCCATACGAGATTTCCCTCTCAAGAAAATTGATTTGAAAAATTGTAGAAAATTAATGTCATTATTAATCAGTAATGTTTCAATTTTCAGATTTGATTTTGCTGGAAACAAAATTATAAAAAAAATTATATCAGTGTTTTCAGATATTTTTCATGTCGAATCACCGGCTCCCCGCTTGAATCACCAATAAACGTACCACTTTGTATATTAGTATACCGGTAGAACAGATTAGTTGCAAACACGAAAATCCGCTTTGGAGAACGAATGTAAAATCATGAGAGAAGAGTTTGCTGAAAGCGCGATCGCATATTATGAGTAGGACTTTTGACTTTTGAGATTGAAGATAACGTTGATAAGTGCGATGTGATGATAAACAATTTCTGTATAGCGCAAATGGTTACCTTGAGGCTCGTTAGCCCTAGGCTGCGTACGGCCGTACTGATTTTCCCGATCCAACTCGATGACAATTTCATTATCTTGTTCATTGGGCTCCCGTTCGTCGTGCCTAATTTCGGGCACCGCTGGTGCTGGATGCGGTTCTAGAGTAATATTCACCAATGTGATGATAGAGGACAGATGAATACACACAAAATGATTTTGCATACTTATTGCAATGTATATTCGGCGTCATTAATGCCTTCCATTTCCGGGTATTTGCGAGTTAAGGCATTTTCCCTGTCGAACGCATCATATTTCGATTTATCATGACTACTTCATCGAAACATCCGCAGTTTCTTTTTTGCCAAGTTAATTCGATATTATTCCTGTAATCGGTTATGTATCTCTTAACTTTGTTTAATTTTTGATATGTATCAGACGCTCGTAGCTGTCAAACTGTCAGACACAGCTCCGGATCATGACGTACAAATATCTAGATATGATGCATCTGACCTGCAAGTGCCGTGAGGATATACATGGCGCCTAGCACACGCATGAATACACTATGAGATGGCTGATCGTGAGCTGCATTAGCCATGCGAGCAGTATCTAGCATAGTCGAGTATGTGAGAAATATTGGAGTTAATGCTCACTAAAAGATAGAAATAGCTCAACATTAACCGCATGCACATTTTTAGAGAAATTTTCAGCGAAAAAGCCATATACTTAGATCGCATGTTACATTTGTTTGTTCTACTTGCACTCCTTCTTCCATATTTTGCATTTAAAATAAAATGGCTCTATATTCAAACTTACGAGGAAGAAGAAAGTGAGGTAGAAGAAGCGTTAATATAGCAAGTGCAACTAAAAAATATAGCTAACATATGTAGAGACTTAAAAGTTACAAGATTTTGAAAAACACTACTTTATTTTTGCTACTGCTCTATTTTTTTTTTTCTTCCTCATTTTTGTAATCTAAAATTCTCTATACGAGCTGAGAAGAAAGCAGTACTGACTGTAGGCTTCATTACGTTCGCACTAAAAGTATAAGTTTGAAAAGACTATACTGTACTGTGTCAAGAGTTGGCGCACGGGAAACTTTTTGGAAATCTCAAAACTTTCTTAAAGTCCCCCACGTACGTTACGTATGTTAAATTCATGTACGATGTATGAAGGTAAGCTTGAGTGTTAACATGATTTTGCTGTTTGCTTGAACTAGGAATCAGAATGGATTGCTTGCTCGAGATGTCGAAACAATTTGAAGTAGAAACGTTCAGGCTTCAAGTTCAGACAGTTCGCGTTCTTCGAATCATCTGGTAAAACTTCTTTTATCGATGCACCCATCGTAGTAAAAAAGATAAAGTAAAATAAAACAAAGGAGAAGAGAGAATCAAGTCGAGTCAAATAAAATTATTATTAAGCAGGCAGCAACGTGTTGTCGCATAATGTATTCATTTCCGAAAATAACTCCCGGTAACCGTCTTATATTAAAGGCAGTACCTATGTCGGGTCCGCAGCTTCTGTGTCTCCCAGTCGCTATATCTTGGAACAGTGTCTTATCGGCGTCACTGTCATGAAGTTTCGTCAACACTGCTACGCAGAGATTCGCGGTCGCGTCCCAGGCGCAATGAGGATCTTGTAAAGCGACGCAGGATTTGCAGGTGGCCGCAACGAATGAGTCGCAATGATGCAAGGGAACCGCTCGAATTTCAGAATCCGCAAACACTACCAGTTTGCTCGCCTCACCAGCTAGATGAACTACCAAAAGGTCTTTGATCGCTTGGCCTATAATAAAAAATTACAAATTACGATGAAAAAGATTGCTTTTTCTCCCTGCACATGTTTTGATTTTACTCTTACTTTCCTATTTACGTAAGCACTCGCACTCGTTTGAATAAAAAAAGAAAAGAACTTTTTCTACACAGAATTATTATTACAAAAAGACATTAATTTAAGTAAATAAAAAAATAAGAGATTCGATAATAATTCAATTTTAACATTAATGTACAATTTATTTATTTATTTTTATGCTTTAAAATTTTATATTATATCGTTTTGTAGAACTTTATTGCAATGCATTGAAATCTTATATTTTAATAAATAGAAATAAATAAAATGTTTATTTTAACATTTTAAATCATTTCTTTGTTTAAAATATAAGATTTCATTTGCATCGCAGTAAAAAATGTTTCATTCTGAAGTTCTAATCTACCAAATGCTATGATATTAGATTGTATACATTTTATTCATTTTTATGGCTTAGAATATTATATCATATCGATACAATAATTTATTTTAACATTCTAGACCATTGTTTTGTTTAAAATATAAAATTTCAATGTCTCGCAGTAATGTTATTTGTTATTATTGTTGGTTCGTTAACCATTGAAGAGACCAAAAAATCTTGTTTTTTTATTAAATTTGAAAACAAATTTTACGTATATAAATCAAACTTTATTAAATAATATATTAACCGTTTTGTTGATTATCTTCTATTAAAAGCCATCTGTTTGAACATTAATTTAAGCATTTATTTTTAATTTATATGCTCAAATCTTTTAAATTTTATAAGTCTTAATCAATTATTTATGCACATATTATTCCAACTTACCGTGCTTCAACACTTGGACGTCGCTGACAATAACTTGACCGACATTGTCACGTGTTTCTGGTGCGCGTGTATTGAGCGCTTTCAAAACACGGCCGTCATCTGCGTGCAACAAGTCGATCTCGTTAATTTCGCATACAAATCATTACTACGTTATAAATATGGATATATTCATTTTACTTATAATAATAGTAATTATTATTATCAGTGATAAATTAAGCATTATTACAAATACAATAACGGTACATAATTATGCACGAACATAATAATTAATATATGATTATAAATAATTATACCTGTTCCGATGTAAAGTATGTCGTAAGCTTTACCGTCCAGTGCCTTTACTTGAGGATCTACGGCGACTTTGGTAAATCTGTAACTATAAATGTTAAAGTTTCGTGTTAATAATATATCACGCTATTAAAAATATATGGAAAGATAATCGCTCTAAAATTAATCTTTAATAAATATTTTTAAAATATTAGCTGTTAAATATATTACGCCATATAATAATAAATTTCATGTTAAAAATACACAATGAAAGGATAATCGTTTTAATTGACAGGAAAATTTATTAAAGAAAAATTGATATAGAAAAAATTCTCGTATCTTGCATATTTTGTACAGGGGCAAAAATAGGGTGGAAAAAAATACTAGGGTAGTCAGAAATTATCCGCAATGTGAGAATTATGTTTCACTTGAACAAATTGCGGATAATTTCTGTGTGTGTGTGTGTGTGTGTGTGTGTGTGTGTGTGTGTGTGTGTGTGTGTGTGTGTGTGACTTGCCCTCGTATATTAAATAACCAATCGGATCTCACTCACTTAAAACTGGTTTTGGTTATCACAGGTAGTGAAAAGTGGGATTGCACTGCGTCATCCATGAGAGGATGAGCCTTAACGAAATTGACAGTGATGTCAGGAAGGGTCCTGGAGTCGTTAACGCAGGCGCCAGGTCTGGGCTCAGGCACTTTTTCTGGAAGCACCCGCAGCCAGTTGCTGTTTATAGTCTCCTGTTCCTTGAAAGCACCCTGGAAGACCTCGAGAATGCTGTCCATGGAGAACGCGCAGACAGCTGAGCCTCCGATGGAGTTCACCGGAGTCGTGAAGACTCCGTACACCAGACGGGTGGATTTCCCCGCGTATCGACCATCCGTGACATCGCTCGTCGATTCTAAATAACGGACAATAATTTTTAGAGTGATTTCACATTGATTGTAAGCAATGTGCACAGCTTTTGATCGAAAAAACGTTTCAGATTGTTAGTAAAAAGAGCTTCATTCAGGATTCAGAAGGTACGTATTACTCGTTAAAAATAAAACATGTTCGATAAGTGATCGTTTAATACGAGCGAAAAATACATTAACTTTTAACTTATTCGAGAAATATAAAATTTCAGATTAAATTTCAGATTAATAAGATAAATTTTAATGGAACAAAATCGACGTTTAATTGATATAACTCGTTTCATCATTGCGCAGAACACGGACGCGAAATGTGAGAAGGAGTTTCCGAGAGGATTTTTTTATCTCTGTCCACAAATCTTTCGTTTTTATCTACTTTATAATGCGAAATGCATCGCCCACCCACCTGCCTTATCGGATGTATCTGAAAATAGGCGATATTAAACGTTTGGCAATAGGACATATCTTTTGCATTCACATCAAATCCCAATATGCTAATAGGTTAAAATTATTTTTACTTATATTTAGTAAAACTTGTTTTAGCCTGTCGTTTGGTTGGTCGCACATTTAGAAAAACATTTATGTCTGGCTCTTGTTTTTATTCTAATTTTAAAAATAATATTTTTATCTTAATTTAGCACGATATTTTGATATGCATATTTAGTGTGATGAAAACAGATACTTATTTAAATATGAAAAATAGTCAAAATTACATGAAATTAAAATAAAAGCCAGTAGCGACAAATTACTGCATTCTAAAAATGACGATAAGTCAAACCGACTCCGAACAAAATAGCAAGATTAATAATATTTATAAGTCATACATACATGCACGCACTGGCGGATCCGTTGGGGGGGGGGGGGTAAATACCCCCCCCTTCCAAGTTAAAAAAAATCAATTTTGCTGGATCCGTTTCAAGAATCTTGGTAAAAAATGCATTAAAGCAGGTCAAAACCCCCCCTATTATCGACATCAGGATCCGCTAGTGCATGCACGTATACGTATGTGTTAAATGATTGCAAAAATTTGGACCGATTTTTAATATAGCTTCTGGTTTCATAATAAAACTTTTATTAATTATTTGTGATAATAATGTAAAAATATTTATATATTTTATATCAATAAGAAAACTGGTGATTTTAACTGTCATTGAAATAAAATTGCTTTATTTGAGAGCTATGAGATATTAAAACTAAAATAATTTTTGAAAATGATTATAAACAAATTGCATGCGTTGAATATATATTATATTATACAAATTTCAAGAAAATTCTCGCGTTTTCGATTACATTTGTAACGTTTATAAAACGAGTATGAAAAAACTAGTAATAAACAAAATAAAAAAATAATTTGCAGAATTGAAACAAAATCTAAACTTTTAATTCACATAAAGTTAATCATGTAAATTATTATGATGTTATTTACGGCTAATTAAACTAAAATCTATAAATATTGATTTAGGAAATTGCTAATATATCAACAATTTGATAGGATTTGATAATAAAGAGATAATGAAGAGATTTCATCGAATAAATCTGTTCGATCAATATTGATTATTTTGAGATCTATTCGATCCCGTAACACGACACTCGTATATTAATATTAATGCATATCAATTAATCAATATATTGCGCAATTATAGTTCCATCGTTATACAGAAGATTCGAACAATCAGTGAAACAGCGATTTCGGAGTGCTTCTCCTCCAGACATTCTCCTCGTTTGGAGGCGTGCCAACTTTAGCTAACATAGGGATTTCAATTCAAAATGCGGCGACAATATTCTATGTGAACAACGCTCCTCTCGTTCGTCCTCTATTCCTATCGTTTCTAGACGCGATAGTGCACGGCTATTGTGCTTCGCTTTCGAGATTAGTCCATTTTGCCGCGCGCTAGATTGCTGGAGTGACTTATCCTATCGTGCTATATACGCCGACGGGCGACGAGTCCAAAAATCGATCGAAGCGCAACGAGAGATATCATATAAATATAAATATATAAGGAACGCAAATATTGTTGTAGCGCAATATTGTGCCTATTGCATTATGGGCGAGTATAATGCTGCGGAGCTGCAACAATACATCTCTAATATTTATATTTGCAAACAATGTTATAACTCCTTCTCTCGCGCGTTAAAACACTGCGTGCAAATATAAATATTAGAGATGCAAGTATTGGTACAATTGGAGCATTATCCCCATTACACGGCCGGAGAATATAACGTTGCGCTATAGCGATGTGTTTTTGATATTTGTAATTGATTGCAACTTCTTCTCTCCCATTCGTAACGTTCGTATGAAAATATTGATTATTAATATATAATATAGCAAACTACACGATACAACAAAATATTATATCGTTTTATATAGCGGAAACAAGCACGGCAAACGTATCTCTAATTTTTCTACTTTCTCAGCGAACGGATAAGTATTCGTGTGACAGCGATTTCTTTCTCAATCGACAAGCAGCAAAGGACACCGAGTCCTCTCGTCCTCTCGTCCCTTTAAAATTCCTTCAAAAAATCTCTGAAATTGCATTTACAGTATATCATTGAGCACGAATCGCGCATCGAGCGGAAATCCCGGAAAACTTGAAAAGTAGAAGAGCGCTATATATATATATATATATACTAAGTGGGAACTAACGCGCCGCAGAATCGGAGACGCTCTTTTACGAGGCTCTTTTAGGAGAGAGCGCGCGGGAGAGCCCTCGTTTGAAACTGCTCGAGTGTAGTCACGATCGAAGCCACGAAAAGGCGCGCATATGCATACTCACGTATTTCATTGAAATAGAAGGGGTACTCTCCTGGTACCGAACAGTTGAGTCTCGCTTTCAGGAAACTCGTCCATCTGTCGCTGAACGCGTGTGGCCCGCCCTTGTCGTGCTGACAGACTCTACCAACTCGCGAGTAGACTGCCTAAAATTGCGAGTCAAGCTTGTGAGCGATCGACTTTGTATCTTAGTGCATTTTTACGATCAAATTCATCTCATTTCGTGAACTTTCAACAATACGCCACGAATACTTTTCTGCTTAAAAAAAGTGTTGCAGACTTAGATGTAAAAAAAGTTGATAAAATCAAATTGTATATCCGATGCAACTTTTTTCTTTTGAAATATCTTCGATAAATTGAGAAAAAAAAAAAAATACTTTATTGCATTAATACACACATACAAACTGTTTATAAAAAAAGAATAATTTCTGAACATATAGTAGATTTATACTAAAAGCTCGATAAAATTGAATGCCAGTTTGAGTATTCAGAAACATTGAATGCACAAATGAAAAAAAATTCATATTATATATATATATATATATTTTAATCTCACCTTTCCACAATTCATATATTCCACCGCTGTTTCCCGATAGAAGAAGAATACATAATCCTGATACGCGAACGAGCTGACGAAATTGGGACCTGAAACGACGGGGGTTGCACTAGGTTTAATCATCGAATAGTATATTGAAATACGTTTTACGCTTAAATTTGGCAGAAAGTAAACACATGATGTTGTTTTTCGCAAAATATTTAATCGGTGTTTCATTAGTAAAATTTTGCGAAAGGACATCACACTCGATATTGATCGTCGGCGATGTGTATGATATTTAAAAGCGCGCATATTAAAATTTATTTAGCAGACGTTAAACACTCCCGAATTATAAAGTCGAAATGCGGCGCGACTCGTTCGACTTTTGCGCGAGATTCGTCAGGTGAATTCGTAAAATGCGCAAAGGGTAATACCTTCGCGAGTACCTGCCCGCACACTTCGATTTCTAAGAGAGCTTACCATTCAACTGATTCAGATCCGAGCGTTCGGTGCGAATTTTCTCTCTGTGAATCAGCGGTTCGCCACCGGAGAAGTCAGCCACCGTCGCGGCATACAACTGTCCCTCTGAAACATGCATAAACGCTTCCGTCAGTCAGTCAGTCGCACCTTCCACATTTGCAAGCTAAACGAGGGCCATCAGGCCCGATAGTTATACAGCGGCTCTCAGGTTAATTCATCCTCTTCCTAACGCGTCTCCTGGAAATTACCCGTTGAATTTACGGGACGATAGGGCGGTCCGCGTGTGCACGCGCGCGCACGTGTGCGTGCGCGCATGCGTGCGCGCGTGTGTGTGTGCCTGTGTGCACGCACGGGAATGATGTTCTATGGCATGACCGAACTTTCGACTCCGCCATCAAAGTCCTCGAAGAACCGGCGGGAGACCGAAACCCCTCCAAAATGATGTCGTATTCCGGGACTATGCCGAGCAATTATACCGAGCTTAATTCCGCCAGTCATCCTTCCGAATTCACGACCCCCTATCCGCATTAATTTCGACGCCAGGTGCGCTCGTTGGCTACATGTTCGACTTTGTCACTTTATTACTTTTGCCTGTTGGATTGGCGCAGTTTGACGAATGACGAAATCGTTTGGAGACGCGACAGTTAGGACGCGAGATTTAGGAAAATAATGTCGGGCAAATTGCATTTCACTGATACGATTACTCGTATTGATCGTTTACGACGGATTGCTTTTAAACAATAATAAAACGCACGAGGGCTGCATTGAAATTATTATATAATTCGCGACAGTTACGTGCCATTGCATTCATTAAAAGCAATAAAATATTGAACTGCGTTAAAACTGTGAAACGAATTACGTCAAACATGAATAATCTAAAAAAAAAACTAAAACATTTAAGGCATTTAATAGGAATATTGTATTTTAAAGATTGTAAAAAGAAGAGAAGGCACAAGATATTGGCATGAAGAATGATCAAAATCGGAGTATCATGCCAAGCACATTCATCGAAACAACTGTCTTGCATGAGCGTAGCGTTTAAGACTAAAGCAATGTACTAAAAAGCTTGGCGTGCGCAAGTCGCATTAAACCACATATATATTTCTGCAAACCTGCAGATTACTCTAACGATCGCTGTAAGATGATAAGCAGGCTAAACATGGCACACGTTAGCGATATTTGAGAAAAAAAAACTAAAGTATAGTTTACATTTCTAATTTAAAGCCAACAGAGTTCAACTAGATTCGCAATTAATTTGAAATTTGGCGCAATCGAATAATATAGACATTTATTATTATATACGTTTGTGCGCAAAAATAAATACGGAAAACGAATTGCCGTCAATAACTGCACTTTGTTAATAGGTCAATGTGCTATTTAAACAATACGAGACAATAGATCCGCTCAATTTTTACGGCAATCTGCCGTGGTATTTCGTTCGTCTATCGGTTTCTGCCGCCAATACGCTGTCATATTACGTCTGCAGGCATTGCCCGGGCACGATATGAATGCAGACGATGTTATTCTGCTGCGATTCAAACTGTTGCCGAATTATTAGCATACCGTTATCATTTTTTTTTCCCTCCCCGCTATAGATGCGCACGATAAATAAATAATTTCGGCCTGTCGTACTTCAAACCTCATGTTTAATGCATATCTCGTAAGGACGACAAGAGAATGAAAAGTCGTTCCGGATTGAGGAAAGCTCTGCAATTCGCCGGAGGATTGCCAGTCGGGAAAAAGCTCATCGTCTCGAGAACGATCCCGAGTGCGATCGCGCGCGCGAACGGACAATATTTCTGCCGCGTCGCGCGGTGACCGGTCACGAAGATCCTCCCCTCCCCCCCCCCCGGAAAAAGCCACGGATTTGATCGGTATACTTGTGTATACGGCGTGCATCATGCGCGAGCACACACAGCGGGCGTCTGCGGAGCGGACTACATTTTCCGTGGAGGAGAAGAGAGATCCTCGAAGGATCTTCGCCGCGGCCCCTCGCGGGGCACCCATATTTCACGTTCAAAAAGCACGATGGGATTTGAGGCCGGCCAACGTATGCGCGCGATAAGTGTATATAGCGGCCGGGCGGTCGTATATAACCGGGGGCGAGGCAGACGTTAGACTTAGGGGGATGAACGTGCCCGTTGCAAGGCTACAAATCTACCCCGGTGAGCCCCGGTAACGCCGAAGTCTCGCGGAATATCGTACAGCGTTGCGCGCACCGCGCGGCGTAATACCTGCGGGAAAGAGGCTTGGGTTTACGTTACGCGCCGCGCTTCTTGCGCGACTGCAGCATCTCGGGAGCCCACGTACATAGCCGAGGTGGTGTGGGGGAGGGGGGGGGGAGGATGCTGTGTGTGCACGCGCACGCTTTATACATGTACTTACGGAGTGATTTAATGCACCGTTGCGTCGTCGACGCGTTACATCGCGCGACGTCTCCGCGAAAATTCGACGAAAGTTTCGACAGGTAGCTGCCGCTGCGCGGACACGCTCGTTGAAGGACGGAAATTCGGAAATAAAATCGCTAATAAAGAATCGCGCATCGCATTATAAAAGGAAAATCGACGCCTAAACGGACAGAACAGTTTTGAATAATGATATTTTTCGCGTGAATCTTGAATGAGGAGTCGCGGTTTCTCGAACAAAAGCGGTAAAGTTATTGCGAATGAGAGATGTAACTATGCTACGCAGTTAGTATGGCTTTTATTAAAAAAAAAATAAATAAATAAAAAAAAAATAAAAAAAACGGCAAATCTTTATTTGAAAATGACCTGGAAAAAAAGTGTTATTCAAATTGTTCGTGTTTGAAATTATTTTTCTGTATTCCATTCATAAATGGATATCATATTCTCATAAATTTTTAAATAAATTGTAGGAAATCCGAAAATAGAAATAAAAACGTCTCTTTCAAAGCCGTTTGTTTTTTGATCGTGGAAACATATTTTCGCACCAACATCCGTGTTTATAGAGGCGTTTTAATAAATTTTCTTTTTCTTTTTATTTATTCAGTGCTTTAGCAAAAAGACAAAGTAGAATGTATTCGATATTTTCCGTTATTATAACAATTGACTGTATTGGCATATAAAAATAAAACATCGATCGCGTGTATCAATCTACGCGTAAAGCGCTGAATTGTTTCTACGAAAAACAAATATTAAAAATATTGCAGTCTAAGAATAAAACATCTCGAGTAAATAATTCTGATTTGGGATTTAATTCTGAAAGATGACGAGAAAATTTCTCATTATAATGCAAAAACAAGCATATCTTGTTCCAAGTAGAAACGCTATAAGCACACAGTGTCATTACAGAGAGATTATTGGTGAAGAAGAAATGAAACTTTTGGAAATTTCCAAAGCAGAGAGACTCCGTAGAATCCTCTCAAAATCAACGGTTGCGATAAAACGCACCGTATTTGCCGCGGAAGAAAATACATCTTCTTAGAAGAAAACTCTAAACTGTTTGACGAGCTGTTTCTCAGAATTCAGTTAATTCGCAAATATGGATTGAAGAATTACAACTGTACGGAAAAAAAAAAAACTTGTTTTACACTGTAATATCTCGGGAGTTGTTTAAGGAATAAAAAATTTATTGCCTTTTATGTATTTACGTATCTAACACCAAGAATATATTGTTTTACATTCTCTACAAAGCAATTTTTAACCGCGTGTCGACATAGTTCAAAAATCTATGATAAAAAAATATTACATTATTCAGACTTTTAAAATTATAATAAATTGGAATAAATGATGATTGCAATGGTTAAATGCAACGACATTTTCACTTTTGAAATCACAAAAAAGTAACGGTCGGAAAAGTACGGAAAAATTGATATTAAAAATCGACATTTTTCCGAATATTTCATAATCTAGCACAGCCCTGTGAGCACTTTAAAGTTATGTGACGATTTAGTGCTTTTGTTGCAAATTTCTCGCTATAATTCCCAATTTTATCGCTCCGGCGATGGATCCAAAAATCGCGTTTGTACCAGGTTAAACTGAAGTCAGCATAACCATTATAAAAGACAGAGGTAAGCGAAAAGTTTTACATATGACTGTAGTTTATGATGCTAGAATTATTCATTATATTTGCATTTGATATATCTGATGTAAAAAATGTATTCTATACAAGAAATATGTCACACGACTGTGAGTAATTCATCAAATTAATAAGTACTGAAATACATAAAAAATAGTTAAGAGAATATCCATGCATTTTTATAAAAATCGATGTTTAAAATAATATGAAGAAAGATTACATGTTTTCAAAATTTTTTTTCTTAGAAAATTCCAGATAATATCTTTTCAAGTTTTTTAAATTTTAATCTACTGAAAACGTTCTCAATTCGTCTACATGTTGAAGATAATGGAAAGAAAACAAGACATACTGATATTTTTGCACAATTTTCCGTTCGTTAAGTCCAACATGCTAACCCCACTTAAATCTTTGAAATTTTTTAAAAATTTATATTGCCAGATTGAAATAAACGTATAGTTACATCAAAAGTGAAATAATAAAACTTTTAATATCTAACCTAAAATATTAAATTTATCTTAATTCTAAGATATTTAAGATTTTATAAATTATTTCATACAAAGATTTAAAACTACGTCTGTGTTTTTATCAAAATAAAATCAAATATTTATAGCAAATACAAAATTTATGCAATTTTTCTAATTATACGTGATATTAACCCAGTAGAAATAGATTGCGCGCGCGCGCGCGTGTGTGTGTGTGCACGTACGCGAATGTGTATGTACTTTAATCATTTATTATATACTGTGTCCTATTTCCTTTTACTCCAATTTCATTCTCATCAATTTATATCTTTCAACTAAACAACGCTTATTACAGCTAAATGTGAAAACGCGATCCATGTGTAGGTAATGTGTGTAAACTAGAAATCGAGAATTTTCAGTGTAAAATTAAACGTTACTAAATAATTGTATAATTAACGATCTAAAGTAGTTAATACAAAATGGAAATCAACTGGCAATTAATATAGTAATTGCAATTTGTGTTCGGCGCATCAAACTATTGTAAATGCAATTTTACGAACAAGACAGCTATGTCGTATGCATGAATGCGCACAGATATTGAAGAACACGACAAATGACAACAAGAATAAAAAATGTCATTTTTGATAAATCGTATTTCGAAATATTGGAAATGCGACAATCGATTTTATTACGATTGGTCCAAATCGCAAGCTTATGTAAACGTTATATTGTAAAAGTGTTGTTAAATTTTTGATTGCTTTATTACTTTTTGACAGATTTCAGTCAGAAAATCAAATGAAAAGTCAAGAGTGTTCACTCAAAAAAATGATCTTGCAATAATAGCTAAAATTTTCTAGGTGTAAAAAATTAACTAAAACAGATAAATGATTAGCAACTGTTGTGATGTTGCATATGTAATTACTTAATCAGTTTAGATGACAGAAACAGAATATATATCTGTATTGTTTGTGAACTTTAAAAAGAAAGTTTCTCTAAAACGCCTATCTATATAAGATCAATCACGTGTTAGATCATGCAATGAATAACATTTAGCAATGGTACCTAAATTTTTCAGAAGCTATTGCTAGAACATTACTGCTATAAATTCTATATGTGACAAACAATGTTTTCACAGATACGAAAAATAGCGATACATTCTTGTTGCGATATCTTGAAATCTAACTACATCAGCGAAATATTTTTTTGAGTGTTCGATGAAACACTTTTAAAATTTGCTTAAATAATTTTTTAAAAACTGTGTTTCATTGAATTTCTGCTAAAAAGAAAGATTTACATTCAATTAATCAAACAGTTCACATATCCGGAGAAGGATATGAAGAATTTGAGATAATGTAGCTCTCCTGTGTATGTTGAAATTTTTCACATTAATGTTTTTTTTTCATTTCGTGCCGTGTATTTCGACAAACAATTTGGAAACATCATATGCGTTTGTGGAACAACTTCATTGAAGCAATGCGTCGTTTGCTTTGCCAGAGTATTGATTTACCGTGGCACTTTGGCGAACATATGACGCTCGCGCGTATCTCGTAATTAGCAAATTATAACGACCAACGTATAAAATTGCTCATTTAATAACAACACAAGGCAAGTAAAAAGTTTTCCAAGCAAACAATAGGTAAAATATGTTTTCTATATTGAATTATGTCGGACTTTTGTACCACTCCATCGTCCTAATATTAAGTGATAAACTTTGTTGCTTTAAAATCAAACTGTTCATTGCATAAATATGGCAATCATGACACTTCACATTAATTGTACATCTGTATATTTTCCATTAGAAATAATATTTATGTATCGATGATAATATCATACATAAATATAGAAAGGGCTTTTGTACAGCTAATAAGTGTAATTTTACACTAAATTTTTTAAAAAATAAATTATTAAATTTTTATAAAGATAATTGACGCCAAATTTACTAACTCTAAAATAACCGTGACTAAAATTTACATTTGAACGATTATCCCGGAAAGATTTCTGTCATTTAATGCAAACTCATCCGCATTTATTAACGAGCTTTGCGTTTTAATTAATTAAACATGTTGAACATATTCCACGCCTTTGTGTTATCAATTAAAAAAATTAAACTAAAGGATAAAAACAAGGTGAATATAGTATATCATTTTTATACTGTAAAATATGTGTGTCTAAATGCGAAATATATCTCTCGTTATTACTGTTTATGTCATCCAAAACTGCGTGCCTATTCCCAGGTTAATGAAACTGAAATTAATGGGTGGAATGGTACTGGCATGAGTATATTTTGCACTAAATTTAAGATAAATAGAGTGTTCAGAATCATTGCTGGCCATTTCCCTATAGATTCTTCAACGCATATGTTCAGAGTTTATTTATCTTTAACCCTTAACTGGAGCGGTGAAGAAATGTTATATAACTGGAGCACACGGATCCCATGGACCCACCTTTTTACGCTACATTAGCAAATATGTTAAAAATAAGTATGCTGCAAAATAAATAGACTCTAGGGGAATAAATATGAATATTTACATATTTAACAGAAAAGACTATAAATTTATAATTCATTAAATATGAAGAGAAAAAATATTTTTCTCGAAAAAGACTGTTTAGGTGTCTTGAATAATTAGCTCTAGTTAAAGATTAACAAAGGATTATTTAAAAAGCAAAGTTATTTCAGTGGAATATTGTCGACAAATTTAGACAAAAATGGGTTTTTCTATAATATAAAATAATGCTGAATAAATAATTAAGTAAAACTAAAAATCATATAGAGATTAAATGACATTAAGCGGTAATAAAGTATACTAGAAAGTACGTGTGTGAAGTCGTGCTACAAAATCACGCGCATCATAATCGAATATCACGTATTTTCCGCAAGAAAGAAAAAAAAAACAAAAAACGAAAATCATCTGTTGAAGCGTTTTCGCATATTTATCACATTCGCCAGACGGAGCGCAAATCGTGCTTGTATCTCAATCGCCTCTATGTGGAATGCAAGAGGACTCGTGATATTCACGTTGAGTTCCTCGTTCTCACAAGCTACTCCACTCGTTGTAGAGCGGTCGAATCTCTCGAGTGGCACTTAGCGTCGTCAAAGCCACGCGTCGCCTGTCAAATCTGGTATGTAGTGCACGGCATATGTTTCAAAATGTAATAAAAATCTCCTCGATAAATATTTTCTGCAAGCGGACGATTTTTGAAGTTACGTGGAGTGGCGCAGACTTCACGCAAAAATGTTTTGATAATACCGGGGTTCACGGGTTGATCGTCGAGATCGCTTTCGTCCACGAGAAAATCCATCCTTTCGTATATTAGCTGAATTCTTCAGCGAGTAAGATAAATTTCCGAGGATAAAATTCCGCGCGCGAATCAAATATGTCTTAGAACACGGTAAAAGTTTTATTTCGTCCGGCGCTAAACATTTTAGAAAATAAAATTCCGATCTCCGCTAAGAAATTTGAAAGAAAAAAAAATATTGATTCGCACAGTTTCTCCATTGATTCGATCGTTTTCGCGACGGAAGTTGAACGCGTCGATTTGCGCACGTAGAAATGGAAAAACTTACCGGCGAAAACCGCTGTGCTATTGTGTCTTGGATCGTAAGGGCAGAGTCCCAAACCGTCCATGTCGCTTTTCTTCACATATTGTCCATCCTGGAATACAAATAAGAAATTTATATTACAACGCTTTTACATAATAGGAAGTTATATACGGATATGCGGGTATATATGTATGTTGCAGAATCTTTGCGAATTCAACCTTTCTGTAAAAGGTTTAGTTTGTTTGGAAAACGCCGAATTTTTGTAAAACAGCATTTTATAAAAAAAATCTAGGTTTTTATGAAAGAGTATTGTATAAATTTGCAAAGAGTCCGCGATATCACACATGCCACGTTACATACGTTTTACCTATTTGCCTACTTTTGAAATGTATCTGCTGCGCGGAATGTGAAATTTAAAAAGTGTAGTGTAATAAGTCAAATGTACAGAATATATTTTTTGCTTCGCTGTGAGAGATCTATTGAGAAAATTGATTTCAAAGATCACAAAAAATTATTATTAATATTATCTTGTCTTTAGTTTGCATAATCTTAAATCATAATGTATCACGAATATTGAAGTTGACCAAAGTTGACGTGACTATTAAAAGTTGATTGAAAAATGCAATACTTAAAAAAAAAATAATGTAAAGTAATTTAATTTTTAGCAAAAAAATTATCCAAAGTATCGAGACAACTTTAATTTTTTTAACAAATAAGTGTAACACAAAGTTTACGGCAACTTTAAAAATCAATCAGGATTAAAAGAAAAAAAGCAATAAAAATAATCTTCTAACATTTTAAATGGATTATCCCGAAAACAAAATAAGGAACAGATTGCTTCAGGATTTTTTATCTTTCTTTTTATGAGCATTTCCTTTCGGCGTGCTATAAAAAAAATCCGATACATCCTATATAAAGAAGAAATTATATAACAGCGGAACACGAAATGACTGTAATATACGACGAGATTACTTTCCCGTGATACGCTAGATTGATTATCCTAATATTACCTGCCACGTCATAAAATAAAATACGATGTAAAACGTGATTAACAGAACTTTTATCGTTTAATTCATATATGTGTCAATCCATAGACGGTTACGTTCCGTATGCATTCTAAAATAATCGCACGGAGTAGCGAGTAGTAACCTAATCCTTTTTTCTTTTTTTTTCTTTTTTTTTTTTTTTAAATTTCTCTTCTATATATTTTTCATAAATAATTTTCAAAAATATCGGCAAAATATTCGCGCAACATATTTTTATTCTAAAACATATTCTGTCTATTCTGTAACGTCGTACCGAACATAATAACATTTGAAAAAGGGTAGTCGAGCTAGAGTTATGGTGATCCTGTGCGACAGCATCCCGGGTTAACGATTAGAAAGCCTCTCGAAATTGAATCTGGCATCGATCGAAACGTTATTGTATTGCTTGGGCGTGAGATTCGCGTACGCAAAACAATAAAACAATATACTAGGTACATTTCTGCCGCGAGTGTCGGATATAGTTTTCGGATATGTCGCCCACTTTAAACGAGCTTATTCGCGTGAGGCTGCGTCCTCCTCCCACTCCTCCTCTCTACTCTTCTGTCTCTGTTCTATCTCTTCCCCTCTTTCTGCAATCAAATTCATAACTCGGTACATATCGAAATAAAAAAAATCGTACAATTCCACTACAGGTGTTCTCTCTTTTGGTTATATGTCGAGAATATGTCGGAATAAAATGTAAAATTCTGTGAGATATTGTCAGTTTTTGATGATCTTTTTCATTTTAATGCCTCTATGCGTAAAATGATTAAAAGAATTGATTCGCGGTAAAGGATATACAGTTTTATGAAAAAAATGCCGTTCAAACCTCGAGAGATATTTAATATTTATAATAAAGATGCGCGAAGCGTAAGACATTTTCTCGCAGAGCGCAACTTTTGTTCGAAATGTCTTTTTTTTTTTTCCGTGCAAGAGGTAAATCAAGAGTAATTTGAGATTGTCGAGCCGAGAGTGAATCACACTGTCTATAAAGTGTATCACATCCATAAAACAAAAAAGAAGAGACAATGTCAGTCATGCTATTTCCCGGAAACACGGAACGCAGGAAACATCCTATCGAAACTTCCTATCAGATTGATTTTTCTTGTACCACGTAGCTTCCCATTGAAACGTTCATTTACATTTATATGTCCGCGAACGTATATAATGGAGAATGTGCAGCACTACAATAATACAGTTTCAAGATATTAGCAATTTAATAACTAATTCCAATCGCAATTACCGCGCGCATACCTTTTTAACTACGTTAATGGACAATCGAAATATACAATATAATGCGTCGGCTTCACCGATCAGACTTTTGACCGTTTGCTGAAACGTCGAGCGGCATGACAGTAAAGTAATTATATTGAATCAATAACAGACGGTCGACAGGTAATGTTCTGTCAAAGAAAATAAAGACTGTGCAGATGATTGCGACGACCGATTGCCGATTTTAATGCATCTCATGATATTTCGCAATTGTTCGTTGTCTAATTGAAGGTTTCGATCGAGTGTGTATGTGTCTGCATAAATATCGTTGTGCAAAACGGCGGTTCTCATTCGACTCTTATCAAAGTACACAATCTCATAAATCCAAGTTATATAACGAATTGAAAAGTATTGTTTCGAAGATAGAGTAATAGTATTACGTCCTATCGTACACTGCACACATCGCACCGGCCCGCAAAAAAAAAGTCGGAAATCTCGTATTCGTCGTTCGTACTTGTCTCCCGCCGTGCTGCGGCGCCATAGTTGGGTTTGTTCGCGACCTACGGATTTTACGAACCGTTCGTATATAGAGCGAATTTGCGGCACGATAAACTAACTCGATAGAGAGGACCGGAAAGCGAGTAGAACATGAGAGTGGCATATGAACCTGAAATTCTGACTGAAGTTCCTGCGCGTTGCTTTAAATCTCTCCATTTTGTCCCCTCTCTAATTTCTCCCTTTGTAAAGTCGGTGCAGCAGAAAGAGATGAATGCAATTTCGTGAATTTAATCGTCAGAGGAGTTCAGAATTGTTTTCAGAATCTACAGTTACAAAAGTTTTTCGTAAAGTGGCGGCATTTTGAACGATATTTGTTTAACAAATAAAATATGATTCAATAAATATATATTCATACTTTCGCAAAAAATTGAATTTATTTCACTTTTCACATCGCAAGGAGAATTTCGAAGCTGTCGAATGAAAAATGGTTCTTACTCGTACGTGAATGTTTCGCAACAGCTCATCATTGAACTGTAAACATCGTTTCACGTCGTTGTGCATTGTAAGCCGCGCTCGCGACAAGTACAGCTGTCGAAAAATATCGGACAATCCGCTGGCGCGGTGTAAGACAATTAAAAAAGTTATACGCGGATATACAAGAGAGCGACTACTGTTGGCCGGCCACAAATAATGTCCGGAATACGAACAGTGTCGCAGCTTGTGCATGCAACGATGTATGCGGAGAAATTGGAACGCAGCGAGGCTATTCGATGCAAACGGCTATTCGATGCACCGCGGCGCGCAAGCGGAGTCTCGGGTATTCCGAGATGCAAGCTGAATCTCACGTACTTTCCAGGGCCCTTTATATTTCTTACATTCGTTCCTTCCTGGATCCTTTCTTCCGCTCTTCTTGCTCGCCACGTACCTCCGCTTCATCCATTCTCATCCACGGACAAGCGGTGCCGCGTAGCAAAACTGAAGTTGCACGAAGCAAATAGAGAGAGCGGAGTTCAGAGATGAATATTTTTGACATCAATCACTCCAATTGATTTAAATTAAAATAAATTTCTGTTTGTTTTTTTTCAAATCCACCGCAATATAAAATAACAATTAACTTAAGGATAAGAATATTTATTCGCATAATTAAAAACCTTGTCAATTAATTAGTCAAAGCTATCTTTGATATAAAAAAATTAAAATTCTTCTATAATTATTATTTGTTTTCTCAATAGATTTTTTTCTTCTTTATTTAACTTTAGTATTATTTATTATCTATATATTTATATGATATTTTATTCAAAATATATTTTCCAATAAACTGCCAAAATCTTTAACACTCTTTACAAAATACTTAATATATAACGCGCTCAAATAACGTTTGTTTCTGGCGTTTTAATACAATATCAAAGTTTGCCGGGATAATTCGAGGTCCTGTCATAAATCTTGCGAGAAAACAATTGCAAGACGCTGCGGGAGACAGCAATGGAGGTGCAGGCGTGTTCGCACTTAAGATGCGATAACGGCCTGATTTGTAGCAAGTAGGAAAACTTCATTATAAGTTATGGATGACGTGCTATTCTTCTCGAAGTATTTCGTGACAATCAAAGCATTAATACCGATGTAACATCTTGGAAATTTCTCGATTTTGTAATGAGAAAATAATTAAAGTTCAAGGATTAGTAATTTTGATAAATTACTAACAATAAGCAATGTTATCAAACCGCACAATTATTATAGAGCAAAACGAATTAGAAGACATTTATATTATGATTTATATTATGAAGATATTTATATTATATTATGATGTGCGAAAACATACAAAATTTATAAAACAATTTATGTTTATTACTTTATGTATATCACTAATAGTAACATATTTATTTGAAATACCGTTTAGTTAAATACATTCATTATTTTGAATATGTTATTTATTAAATCTATTAATTATTTTAGTTTATTTTTCGATATTGGATAAATGCTTTAGTGTTTTAGATATTTTTAGAGAGAGTTAATTAGATCTGTATTTATTAATTTCTATTTCAACGATTTATTTTCCTTAGCACTAATACAATCCTGCAACTCATATTCATTCATTACTTGCGTTTATACGGTAAGATTTTCCATTATAAATTTCGTGAGAAAGCTATAATTGCGAAACGCCGCGGGGAACAACCGCGAGTTTCATCTTCGCACGTTCGGCCTGTCGCGATATAATTTGCGCAAAGTTCGAAAACTTTGAGTGTAAACTGCACAGTTCTCACCTCCCTCCGACATTGTTTCGCAACGATCACGACACAATGCCATGCGCTTCTGCGTGGCAATTTACCGTTCACTGTTTCATCGTCCGGATTATCGCGTTTGCGATAAAAGAAACTAT